GTCTGTCCGTTGAATATTTGATTCCCGTTATTATAAAAGTAATAAAAATGCCAGATTTACGAGTTTAGCACATCTATAATATCGGGAATCACCCATTAGCCCAATATCGAAATATGAAACATGTCTGATACAATTGCTTGCTACTACTGTAGTAGTGCTTAAGGGGCATGAATTCTGGTCCCATAGTACTTGCTCAACAAAAATAATTCTTGGACTAGTAGTACTAGTAAGAGTATTCAGATTGAACAACAAAGAGAAGTGAAGACAAGTATCAAAACATAAAACATCATCACTTCGTCACGTTGTTGTTCCTTCTTGTGTTTTAAAAAACTTCTTGATACTAGTAACAATGTTTCTTACTAGTACTAACACCAAAAACGATGAGACGAGGAGGAGGACAAGTGAGGAACTCGTCCTCCTGGTGATGATCATGCAAAGAAGCAGCACTATGTTCATACATCCATGTTGCAATCCTAGATGTTTGTAGTAGTACTAGTACTGGTGGTGGCAGTACTACTACTAGTAGTACTAATTGTAGTAAGTGTCATAGTAGTTTAGAGTGATGCACAGGAATTTGTCAAAAATATCAATAGTGGTCATTGTTTGACTTCTTGCTAGGAGTGGTGAGGAGCCCAACAAGAAGCTCCCATCATTTTCTACATTTTTGTACTTTTTGTCAAAATAGTGGAGATATAGTACAATTGTTAATTTCATTTAAATACCACTCTGACCCCAATATGACTACTACTAGTCCTAGTACTAGTACTAGTAGATTTGTCTGTTAATTATGTTTCCTCAAACCTTATAGTAAGAGGCCCTCCTAGTAAGATATACTAGCTAGCACCAACAGTTAGTACTACTACTACTAGTAGTAGAGTGTGCTGTAGAGTGTGAAACAGGAGGAGAAATCAACAGCAATACCAACACAGCTTGGAAGTTGGTGGTGGGTGGTGATGATGCAGAGGAATGGTATCCTCCTGGTTGGCTTGGTATGCATCTACTTCAGAGGCTTTAGTAGTTCAAAGAACCAATTACTACCTCAAATACTTTTGGCTGGTTTTGAGAATAGCAGTTTATTCTCTCTTTGTCAGGAACACAAGCAGAAATGGATTTGCTTATGTTAGCCAATATGTTCATTTGCAGCGGCAGAAGCCAAGCCAATCACACTGATGACCCCCTATGCAAATCAGGGCATCTGGTAGTCATTGTTTTAGGTGGCATGCAAATAATGATCTGTCTGGTGTTGATAACAAGTCTATGATTAGCTATTTAAAAAGGAAGAAAAGCAATCCAGTTTGTCCAGTATCTTCTTACTAATTAGTCAATCAAGCACTGTATCATGGTATACTGTCTGTGTGATGCAGACGCTGGGTACTTACTTGACTTCAAGATCTGCACTGGTGTTGTTAGTAGTGGGTCCACCTGTGATACCATTTAGCAGTTGATAATTTAATCTAACCTTGGACAAGTTACTAATGGCTGCTGACTGTTTATGGACAACTTTTAAACTACTACTACTACAATTAAAGTTGTGGCTAAGTTATGAAATTCACAGCAAATGGGTATTAGCTGGTTCTGTTTTTCAGACAAAGAAGAACATTACAAGTTCATGGTCTCCAGAACATTTTCCATGTCCAAATCAATCTAACAGTTGTGCAGTTGAACAGGGTTGTCTCAGAAATGGATACTAGAGTTCAAGCTCCTCATGCATCTCAGCATTGCATTGATGAACAAAGTCGCATGAAGAAAAATGCAGTGGAAAGTCTGAAGGAGTGGAGAGGAACTATTGTTTTGTTTGTGTAGAAGAAGAGAGCAAAGGTATTCTGACTTATCAGTGCGTAGATTAAGGAAGTTGTCAGGGATTCTTGTTAGTACTAGTACTAGTACTAKTATGAAAATGTCAAGGAATTACAGTTGGTGTTGCAGAAGTTGCCATGTTGCTGTATGTAAAGAGCATTGGAGTAACTTCAACCATAATGTGTAGTGCTGATGCTGGTGTGCTATATAATTAATCTTATTTATAGTTGTTAAAATAAGTAGAGACATTTGGCAACACAAGTTACAAAAAGTTAAAGAATTCAGCATGAAGTTGGAAATACTGTTGCTGTAGTCGTAGTAGTGGTGGTGGTACTAGTAGTAGTACTACTACTAGTAGTAAGAGGAGTAGTACTACTCAAAAATTTAAAAGTAGTCATAAGATGCAAAATAAGTGCCCAAAATAAACTCAAGTTTCACTTTCTTAGTGACTTTTTTACTAGCAATACATCACTGCAGCAATAAGTGTACTAGTAGTACTAGTACCCAATGTACAGTGACAAGAAGAACACTTCTGAAAATCACCACTCCCTCAAAAATAATATGTGATGCATTCTTCAGCAGTAGTTTTGAGAGTCAGGGGCATGAAATCAATAATTCTTTCTCAAAAGCTTTACCAGTAGTAGACTTTAAAATGATACCCCACTAGTACCAGTACTAGTACAGTATTTCCTACTAGCTTTATATGCTGTTCTGTCTGGGATTTCCCTGTCCTCGGAAATTTTTGTCTTAGATTATCATAATAATGGGCTCAATAAAAAATCAACTTTGCAATGGCAGGAGGTTTTGCCAACAAGATCTTTTTCTAGTAATGTGGCCAACTATGACAATCTGCCATTGCCAACCTGGTGCTGCAAAACTTGAATTTTGTTGTTTTCCAACAAAATCATGCAATGATATACTAGTACTAGTGGTGCTACTATTTTGCTCCTACAACAATTCTCACTTGACCTACTACACACCACAATACAACTTATCCTACTAATATGATAGCAACTTGTCATGATTGCCTACTGTTGGTAGTATCACTATTGGAAGTAGGATGACTAAACAATGGCAGCGCAGGGTCAATAGTGGTGCTGTGCGTGTTGGGGGGTTCTTTTGGAGGTCAGTGCTGCAATACACAGTCCAAATCGAATTTAGTAGTAGTACTAGTAGTACTACTACTAGTAGTAACTGAGACCTTACCTATCATTGTAGTACTATTTGAATCTTTTACTTGTTGTCCCTACTATTGCTAAAAGGCTTCAAAACTAAAAATTGGCAATTATTACATGATGAATAGTGACTGGATCAAGATCTTTCTCTCCTGCTCCTCCAAAACAAATTAGCACTTGTAGGAAGTCATACTAGTTTTCTCGTAATACTGATGCAATAAAAATCACCACCTCAACATTTAAGCATAAATTATACTTTCTAATATTACTAGAATTGATATGACTCTGATATTGATTGAATCAAGAGATTGCAGCATTATTACCTGGATGGATTTTTAAAGGATTGTACCAGCCAGGAAATGATAAATCATGCTAACATAACAACTCATTTGAAAAGGTACTGTACTATGTGAAACGCCTATCCGGTCGATCTGATTTACACATTAGGACTACCTACCGATTCCAGTACAGAAATATTGCTCTGGATACTAGATCTTCGACTTCGACTTTTCCTTGATACCTTCACATGAGAGGGAGGGTTTTCTTTGTTTTCTAAAGATAGACGTGCGATGCTGTCCATCATGATTTCATCCTGCATTTTCTCGTCTACAGGTTCTACATCTCTTGTATACTCGCTGATGGTCTCGTCATCATCGCATGTACCAACAAAATCCTGTTGGTCGGTTTCATAGTCAATTTCATCTCCCTCGTCATCATGGTCTTCGTAACTTTCGACACCGGAGAGCAAATCTGTCAAAGGAAGTAACGCTTTCAAACTAGAAGGATCGTCCAGAAAGGCTAATTCTTCAATGCGGTCTTTCAGCTTTCCTAGTTCTGCCTTGTTGTGGTTCTCAATTCTAATGTCTTGATTTCCCAAAAATTTACATAGCGATCTGAGTTGTGTCAGATTTAGTTCATGCCCATTTTTGACGAGAAAGCTGGAGACCTGAAGACTTGCCATCAAGGCTGGATCAAAATTATTCGCTTTGGGCTCTTCAATAATTTCGTTCGAAATTTCGGTTGAAACAGGCGTTGTAGACGCATTATCGCTATCCAGGACTATCGAAAATGCATAGTTCACGATCTTGACTAATGGAAAGGCAACAGAACGCTTTTTGGTTCTCTTCTTTGACGAGTTATTCAGTGCCACATTAAGAGCATTCTCAATACATTCGAGAAGCTGACATCGGCATTCAACTGACTTCAGGCAGAAAGCAGGGAAGAATAAACTCAGAAGCTGCTGTAATCTTAGAGGGGAACCGACATCCTTGACATCAACATCGTGGTCGTTAGCTTCGCCGAGTTGTTGTATCTTGCTAGGATCCAAATATGAGACCAAAAGCAATGAAAGGAGATGATTATCCAAAGTTTGAGCAGAGAAAAGCAACTTCGTGGCTACTTCAGAAGCAATTGCAGATAGTGTTGAGTTCTTATGCTGGATCATTTCTTGTACAATGACTAGGAGGCTTAAGCTATTTCCAGAACTCGAGTCAGTGAGTGGCTGAAGAACATCCGAAAACAAAATAGCCCAATCCGAAAGACCCAAAAGGGCTTGGGCTCGACACTGGATTGATTCATTTTCGTTTGCTGCGATATTTAATAGGATGGGCTTGAAGTCAGAGGCGATAGTAGCTGTATCAGAATATAGTCCCAGTTTTCCGAAACAACATATTCCGATTTCACGGACCGTTCTATTCGAGTTAGTCACTGCTGAGAGAATAATTTTCGTCATAACATCGAACACTTCATGAGTTGAGAGATTGGATGGAGCGTTTTCTAAAACGATAGAGAAGATGAATAAAACTCGTGTATGATCTGTGGCCTCGGCATCAACAGAACTGGTGGTCGATGTCAAATTTGCAAGTATCAAAGACACGGCGTTGTAGAAATCGAATTCGTTCTCGTTAGCTGCACGCAAAGCCTCGACGCAGTCTTCGATAAGATCATCTGGAGTTTCAGAGTTGGCCAATACCTCGATCATAATATTTGCGAAATGACGGCGGCTTCCCTCTTCTTGAAGGCCCGTTACCTTCGTCAGTTGAAGAAGTTGAAGACAGACGAAACACTCCTGATCCATACATTCTTCATCGTCTTCTTGAACGGATTCTACGAAGCGGTGCAAGTGCTTCTGAAACAAGTCACACAATGTGGGAATGTCGGGAGTTGTTTTACTCATTAAATCTTCCTTTTGCGCAAATGTCAAGTCAGACGATTCTTGGGCAGTCGAACAAGCAACTCGCGTATAGAAGAGCTGATACTCATCGAAAATCACACTTGAATCATTGAGCTTAACCATGGACTTCTCTAAGTTAGAACAGAGAGATCGAATTTCTGGATCGCTGAGTTCTTGGAGAATGGTGTCACTTTTCGTAGTACCACGACTGCGTGCCATGTTCAGCACAACCTGGAGCGCCTTCTCGCATTCCTCTTCGTATGTTGTTGCACCCATGAAGCGCATTAATTCAACTGGACAAAAATGTGCAGCTTTCGTCCATTTAGTACAAATAAGCTTCGTAGTAGCAAGATTAGTGCTGCCACATCGTTCTGTCAAACCGTGTCGAATGATATCACGAAAATGTTCTTCTGTCATAATTTCTCTTCGCCGTGGATCTACCTTGAGATGTAAAGTTTCAATCGCTGCAACCCTAACTTTCTCTTTCACATCATGGATTCGAGCGATGATATGATCAAGAGTTTCAGCTGAATCTATTGGTACAGCTTTTACAGCCTCGACACGATTCGTAACTGATGAATCGTGCCACATCGACCATAGAAGTCCTTCTAGAACCGATGTAGTAGAGATTCCTTCAAATTCTTTACCATTCAGTGAGCCAAACCACATCCCAGCTGCATGAATAGCACTTTGACGAACAGCTTGACTCTTATCGATTAATCGGGGCAGCAATAAGTTTCCAATTGATTCCAAATCTTCTCTTAAAAAGTTCACCTCCTGATTCGATTTGTTTTTCTTTTGATAGCGACTAATTGTTGTACCGATATGAGATGCAAAACATCCCAACATACTGCAAGCTTGGGCTCGAAGTCGCTCCAAGAGAACAGTAGAGAATGTTTCTGCTCGTTCTAAAATAAAACGAACGGCCTCGTCGTTTCTTGATGATATACGGCACGCCAGAGCTGAAACTAGATAGAACACTCTCTCCACAGCATCTTTGTTGGATGAATTGGTTTCCATAGCCAAGGCTGCGTCGGTGTATTTGACAAGCAAGGGAATTAGGAATGTAGAGGCAATGAAAGAGGGGGGCGCAGCGCTATTTTGTTCTTCATTGAGTTCAAGCTTTTCAATCCCGTTGTTAAGGATGAGGACACAGACATGTTTTTCGATGGTTGATGCTGCACGACTAGATGATTCAATTTCGGACCCTAGGTCCTCCTCCTCAAGTTGAAAAGCCTCAAATTGTTGCTGGACGTAGTCGCTGATTTCGTCTTCGATACTCATGGTGAAGTTTGTTACGCCTTTTAGTTCAACTGAAGTATGGTGATAATAGAATATTGGTTTGTCCTATCATGCTGTACCGGTAGATATCAAAGAGCAGTCACAGGTGTCGTTCGATCTATGAACAAAATCAAAAATCACTCAAATTTAAAATCACAACCGGTCGGTTGGTTATGCGCGCCGTTAATGCTTAGACGTTTCCAGTTTCCAGCGTTATTCGTGAACCAGATTGGGCAGTGCTGGCTTCCTTAAAAATAAAGAATAAAGGAAAAAAATACTAGAATAGTTTTTTTAAAAACTGCAATTGTGGATGGAAAAGGGAGTCTGAGGGAGTGAAAACAATAAAAATCCGGTAACAAGTTCTTTCAAATGTAGAAGCCCCTGCCTTGTTGTTGTAATAAGATTACATTTCGACTTCGACCTACAGTAAGTTAATAGTGCGTACGTACCGTTAGAGAACTTGTGATATGAGTTCACTCGTATGGGTAACAACTGGGTTATGAGTCTATTACTCGTACCCGCATGGCACGATACAGTAACGCACGGCTTGTCAAGGTTTTGATTGGTACCTGTAGTATTAGTGAATGCAAGCCCCAAAGTCCACAGAAATAAACTCTAGAAGAGCATTTTTCAAATTAACATAACTACTTATCTTCTGTATGTCGCACAAGATGTAGTTAACGGAGTCTAGAAAACGCAGTCATGTTCGAGTTACACCTTCCAAAGCACGCAATAGCTCGGATTCATCAATGGATTCCCCAGCCTCGTCCATCCACCATTCCAAAAGGTCGAGTGGATCACTAATCCCTCCCAGCTCCATGTCGTGAGCAAATTGGGTTTTTGGGTAGTGAGTTGGGTATTCGGTATCGCCTTTTCCAAAGTAAAAAAGGTCCGGAAGCTGCGTCGACACCAAACCGGGAACAAACACTTCGTTGGAGGCTGCATCGATTCGTGCTAGCACGAGCTGATTGGACCATCCGAGAAACTCGACCAGTTTCCCCAGTGAATTCCAAACAATGTTGAAACGCTTGCAATGTCCACACGTGGGAGCATAGAGTTGCAGTAGCACATGCTTCTCTCGATTTATCTCAAGAAATTTCGGCAAGGAATCTGCGCTTAGAAGGTGGACGAAATGCTTATTGACGGGAACGGCACCGCCCTCTTGCCCTTCCTCGCTGTTGTAAGGGCTACTTTTTCGCTCTGGTTTGGTTTGGCCGTGAACGAAATCGTCGAGAAATCGACCGATGGACAGCCGGGTGATAGGTGGATCTAGGTAGTGACGCTCGATGCCTGTCCTGTCTTTCCGCCGATCGGTCACAAGCAACGTGGGCAAAACAGAGGAAAAATTCGAACCATCATCTTCCCCGTTTGTTGGTCCCCCTTGGCGATTTTCATTTGTAACGCCATCACAGAAATCATCGCTTGGATCACCATCAGCGCTGCTGGGTCCCTTTCGGACTCTATTGTGGCACAGTGTTGCTCGGATTTTTTTGGTGGCTTTCTCGTCGAGCTGCGAAAAAATGTCGACACCAAACGTGTTTAAGACCCGAAGTTCGGTACTCTAAAGGAAAGTGAAAATTAAATGATCATACAACCCATTGAAAAAAGGCAGCAATATTGGGAAATATGCCGGAGGCACGCGCATGCAATACAAAAACATTAGTATGCACCGTAACAATAGCAGTAGTGGTGTTAGCAGCATTATAATGGATGAAGCAAAATGAACACGGAAGAGAGTTTTTGTCGCAATAGCTTATTGGTCCATACGACAACTCTTCGAAKGGAACGCAACTCACCGGTACCACCAGGCAAACGATTGCTAGTTCTGGGTGATCGGGAGGCTGAGTCTCCCGCAGCTGCCGGCATTCCTGCCGAAAGGCACGGACGGCATCCCGAGTGTTGGGTGCACTCGCAGGATCGTGCAAATCCACAAACAGAACCGCGTGGCGGTGGTACCGCTGGTGGAAGGCAATGGGAGCCGTCATGCGCCGGTCGAACCACATGAGATCCGGCCGGAGCCGAAAGCCTAATCCATCAATGATTTCCGTGAAACTCTCGAGATAGCCGCCGTTGTGAAGAAGGGTGTCTTTGTCATGCAAGTGGACGTCCCAAATTTTGACCCTACCGTCGTCGGTGCTGGCATTGCTACAAAAGGAGGAAGAGGAAGAAATGTTATCTGCGTTGTCAACAGTTTCCGTGCTTGGTTCCAAGATTGAGAAGAGCACATCGCGTCGTGCTCCAAGTACTGTGACAGCTTTGTCGAACTCCTGGTATGATGTAAAGTTATGGTTCGCGGTTTCGGGACTCGTAGGCTGCCCGCTCCTAAGGTTTCGGCACTGGATAACGAGCCGGAACAATTCATGTGGCGGTGGGGGTTGCGACGCCCTTTCTTCGTTGTAATTTCTCCTTTCCTGATTCGCATTGAATTCATTGCTCGTGCGAACGTGACGTCCCGAATTGTCGTCCATCAGGAATCGAATCCATCGATCGTCGTCCTCCGATAGGCTGGGGTCCAATGGAAGCAGAGGATGCTGGAAGATGCTGAGTTTGTCGCGTTCGCCATTTCGAATCATGGTTTGCAAGTCTTCTATCGATTCCACTCTTACTGTCATTAGACGTACGCTTCGAACATCGTTGTATTGCGAATGTTGCGGTGTTTCCTGTCGAGTTCGTCGTGTCCATTGTGAACGGAGGAGAAGACGCGTCAAGTAATGGCGCAATCCGTTCACCAAATTGGGAGTGGAATCTGTCAGACCGCGGTACATTTCTGACACAGCGAATACATCGTCTATGTGCGCAAATGCTTCTACACCCGGTTCTTCCTCGTCTGCGAGGAAGAAAAGATAGGGAAGCCTGCTGATTCCCATTTGATCCATAAACTTTTCGTTGAACGCTTTTTCGCCTTTTTCACCAATCGGCATCGGCACGAAAATGATTTCAGATCTGACATTTTCATCTCTTTCACCATTGTCATCCAACTGGTGTTCGTCTTTCAGCAATTGAAATTCAATTTTTGGAATGGCCTCGTTCATCAACCTCCATAACAATGTTTTGCTTTGATGACATGATTCGCGATAGGCGAGAACCATGAAGGTTCGATATCGTTTTGCACCATTTCCCTTTTTCGAGGAAAAAAAGTCTGATAATAACAGTTGGAAAAGGTCACGTGTAGGATCCACGACCCGCACCGTCGTCTTCCGCGACGGGGCCTCAGATTGCGTTTCTGTTTCGACTGTGGCCGGCGCCGTTTCTTTTTCTCCGTTCGATAGTCCCACGCCATCCTCCAGCATATCCCCCATCTTTCGATTCTCATTGTTTTCAACATGTTGATCGCTAACGACGAAGATCAACAACGAAGAAAAAATTACCGCGGTCACCAGCAATAGGCACAGCAGGGACGTTCTTGCTTTTGGTTTCTGCCTCCGCGTTCGCTTTCGACGCCACTGATAAGGCGATGACGACCATTCCGCTGCAAGTTCTCTCTCACTCGGGTCGGACCAATTCATAGCTACTTTTGTGCGTGATTGCAAACTGCTGCGGCGTTCAATGCTATGTCGGCGGGCCGATAGCCATCGGGGGGAATCTCGATTCCAGATGAATAATGCACGAAGGGACAGTGGTTTCGTTGTCACTTTTGAGTCTCGAACATGAACGTGATTGGTCTGCTTCGGTGGCAGTGGAAGTCGAAGGTGTCAGCAATGTACGTACCTACCGGTATTGGGTCATTCTCGAGACACCTATTCTGAGTCCAAAAATACCCAGAAGATGGAAGCCCCCCCCCCCCTCAACTTCCACTGTTTGGGCGTCTGGGCTGAAATCTATGATTCAAAATAAATTCAGTCCTGGGTTTTACTGTGGACTACTGTGGTCCGAATAAAAACTTCCCTCCAGCACGAACTGTTCATTTCATTCATTCAACCGACCATGGGAATTGCTCTATTTGTAGCACTTCCGCTCAACCTTAGACACTTTACTTGGTATCAATGGATAGCTCTCTTCAATTGTCGATTTAACAAGTTTTGAACTGTAGCAATTAAGCAAGTGTGACAGATTTTATAGCGTGTTCAGTATAGCTCCTTCGTTTACGACAACTGCTTCCGACGTCGGCAACATCAGCAGTATGAGCAGGAAGGATCCAGGAGATGAGGGCGCTAATAATTAAAGTAACTTCAATCTTTACTTTACGCGTAGTGCAGTCAAAAATAATTTTTACGATGGCATTACTGCTTTAATGATACGAAATCACTGCACTGAAAATTATCTGTCTTGTTCCAGTATTTTAGTATCGCCATGGTTGTTGAGATGGTTGCAAACAGTAAGTCTATTGTCGAGCAAATAAAGTGTTCTCTATCTTATTCTCTACTTCATTGAAATATGAGCTCTCCTCCTAGCTCTAATAATCACGGCCTCTGTCCGGAATTCACTCCTCTTAACTCTCATATCTTTATTCAGTCTTCAAGACCCCCTATTACACTAGATCTCTTCAACTTCAAGCTATTCTTTGTCCATCAACAGCTGCTTGATTCTGCCAGCTCGATGAACACAACAGCTGTTCATCCAGCTCCTTCAAGATACTTCATTTAGACTACTTATCATAACCTCCATGCATAGTATCCTGTTTCCCTCATCTATTTCACCTCTCAGTGGGACTATCTCAGCACTGCAACTCGCCCAGCTCGCCTTCTCATGATCTGCAGCACGCCAGGCGATTCCCAGTTCAACAATGGTGTACCATCGATTCCGAGCAATGCAGCAAACTACCAACTTCTTATTATTTTCTCATTTTCACTAATCACCAATATGAACTTCTTTTCAGTCAGTGAAACTAACCTCCTCACGTCCAGTGCAAGATTCCATTAAATAGCAGCCAGTGCAACGGCTACCATGGCAGCAACAGAAACAACACGACGCTCTTTGGTGAAATCAACATTGTATGCGGGCGCGCTGAGGCTGCCAATGCCATCCACATCGACATCAAAACATTCCAAGTCAAGACTGACAGTGGTGGCAAAGGAGCTGCGGCCGGGCTCTTCGGGAGAACCTTCCTGGAGTCGACGGGCTTCAAGAAGGGGATCAGGGACTTCAAGGGGATCAAATACAGGTTCTCGATACCAGGAACACTCATCAGGTGTTGAAAGAGTCTTGCACAACTCCTGATATTCAGTAGTTTCATCTTTGCTTTCTCCTACATATGTATTTGCCGTCCGTTCAAAGCCAACATCCAGAAGTTTACTAGCAGCATCGAGGAAGTCTGATGGGGTATTTGACTGCAGGTAAGCACAAATAGTCAAAGGTTCGTTTGAAAAACTTGTTTCCGCACGAACGTGATACTTGAATGGATGTGGATACTCATCGAAAGTATACTGCGTCAAAAAGATTCGTCCGGGATTGGTTATGTAAGTCAGCAACGAGATACAGTTGTTGGCAAAGTTAGTACAGATATGTTTATGAATTTGTGCAAACGCCACAAATGCCTAGGCAACTTACGCCCCATTCTCTATTATAAATAAAGGTTCCTTTTCCCAAACACTTATGTTGTGTGTTTGGGTCAATTTGAATTATTGGGCCGTCGGGGTTTTGTAACCAGTAAAGTTCATAATAAGGAACAGATGTCATTCCCGCAGTCTTAACCCCCGTGAAACTTTCCTCCATATACTCATCACTATCAGTCCGTATGGGATGCACTCTGGCCTGATTTTCCGCACCACTGATGCAAAAGGCCATTTGGAACCTCTCATTGTCTGTATCATCCAATTGAAAAATACTATCTATATCATAATTGCAGGTTGGAACTTCAACAGGAGGGTTCATAGGGTCGTATGCACGGGTACACTGAGACGCCTCATCAATAGTCTTGCACATCTCCTTGTGTTTATTATCAGCAAATGGAATTGTGTTGCCTGCGGCATCCCTTGTTGTAGTAAAGCCATCCAGCTCAAAAAGAGGAGCAACATCAATTTCTTTCTCCTCTTCTTGTATTTGAGATGCCATTTTAGGGTAAGCACAAATAGTTGTAGGGAATTTTGTTTGCGAAGTAAACACAAACGTGAATGGGTCCTTAGTCGGACCATTAATGTTGTACTCAACCTTTGTTCGAGATTCATCCAAGATTGAGGTTGTAGGTCAGTGGTTACAGATCAAAGTGAGTTCAGAAACATGTATAAATTTGTGCGAACACAATAATGCATGGACAACTTACAAATTGATCTGTTCGAAAATATGCTCCTTCCCCCATACATTTTTGTGGGACATTTGGGTCGTACAATTGTACACCGGGTCCACCATTGTAATATGGATCGACTGAGTACTCTGAAGTTACACTAGAATAATGATGACGGGAACCGTCAGAATCCAGAAGACTCAGATCTGACCAGTGGTATTCATTATCAACACGACCTTTGACACAAAAAGAAATCGGGAATTTCTCTCCCTCCAATAGTTGAAAAGCGTTTTCTACTTTGTAATCGCACATTGTTCCAAATTCACCTACTACTGGGGTACCGGTATCCTTGTGCTGTAAAACTGCTTCACCTTTGCATCGGAAAGAGTCTGCCTCATCTCTAAAATATGATGGGATGACTACACTCTTGAATGCGGCCGCACTGCCTCCCATTGCATTCCCCTCCAAATCCATGCTTTCTTCAACGTCCAACGTGACACTGGTCAAACCACTAGTTTCTTTTCCAGCATCATTTACTAGCTTGGTGCCTCCCGTGCCATCAGCTTCAATGCCGCAGGAAATATCCGTGAAACCCACAACTCTGAAGTCTGGATTTTCAGCTTTTGGACGAATGCAGATCTGGAAGTCCTGACCAATTTTAAACTTCTCCATTAATGGTTTCCCCCCATTAATATCTTTGGTGCCGCACAAGAAAGACTCAATGGCAATGGTATTTTGCATTTTTTCAGTCTGCATCAATTTTGGTGATGAAAGAAGTTGGACCTGTTGCTCAAAATCACCGTAGGAAAAGCTTCCTGAATCATCAATTTTAACTGTCAATTGTGCGTCCAGATAGGAGACAAGCTCTTCACCCTCTTGGTTGGTATCAATATCCAACATCAATGAAACTCTGATACCTACCGGTATTGTGCACAACACGCACGCAAGGAAGAATCGTGAGAAAATACATCGCGATAGAAACATCCAATCGACACACGGTTAATGGTACTTACAGGCTTTGGCCACGCCCCTCCCATCACCAGTTTGCGAATAGATTTTGGAATTGCGAAAATCAGGGATACTGAACTCAATGGCCACTGTATCCCATTATATGATACAAATAGGATACAACTATGAGTGCAAGATGTTGAAGGAAGAGTTGCAAAAGATACAGTTAAAGACAACAACGATCAAAACGCACCTAAGCGTCCATCGGAAGTTTGCTGCAACTCGGCATATCCCTCATCTTCTACTGGTGCCATCTTCAACTCGATACCGTTTGCCATGCTCTCTCCTGCGACGCATGGTTCGTCATCGGCAGGAGCCGTATACAGATCAAAAAGGATTGTCTTGTCATCTGGTGCTTCGATAATCAATTTTCCACTGAAGGATTCAAGATCGTCCAGCTTTAGAAAAGGCTTTTCTCCATCTCCAACAGGCAAAAGCTCAAAGCGGCCGATTGGGGGCAATGGATTACCGTTTGATGGAATAGGGGTAGCTTGGACAGTAGACCGAAGTCTGCACGCAGCGGATAATGCAGCGATCGCAGCGTATGAAAATTTCATGATCAAGCTTTTTTTGGAAGGGTGTTTCTTTTTGTTTGTTTGTTTGTTTTGTGCGAGAGAGGATTGTGAGCGATCCTGATCGAAAAGACTTCAAAACGATCTTTCTACACAAAATTATAACGTGCCCAGAAGATAACAACGTGTGTCGACGTCCTGGACACGGAAGGTCTGTGTTCACAAGTCGCAATCATCTTTCACCCACCGGGGATAGAAAAGGTAATGGTGCTTTCTTCTTCTTCGAACATCGGTTTCGTTTGTAAATGGAGCAAGTTGATGAATTGATATTTTCGATCAAATGCCATTGATATTATTGTACCATTGAGAGTCCCGGAAGATAACAACGTGTTTCGATATTCTGGACACAGAAGGTTTGTGTTGACATAACGAGAATTGAATTTGTTATCGCAATCATAGTAGTAGAAACCATTGTTTCTTCCTGGAACATCGGTTTCGTTACTTAATGGAGCAAGTCAATGAATTGATATTCTCGATGAAACGTCATTCCATATTCTACCGATGAGAGACTTTTGAAAACGGTACCATATGACAAACACTGTTCCATTTTTTCGTAATGCTGATAACCGAGACACGGAAGGTTTGTGTTGACATGACGAGAATTGAAGTTGTTGTCGAAATCATAGTACCGGTACCGGTAGTAGAAACCATTGTTTCTTCCTGGAACATCGGTTTCGTTACTTAATGGAGGAAGTCAATAAATTGATATTTTCATAGTCAATGAATTGATATTTTCGATGAAACGTCATTCCATATTCTACCAATGAGACTTTTCAATACCACTGATCCATTTTTTGGTAATGCTTGTCACAGAGAGACTTTTCTCGATGTGACAAACTTTCTGCTTTCGTTACAGTACTCGTACTCGGAACTGTTGAATCGAAACAA